ATACTTGTTATATAAAGCTCGATGTGTAGCCGTGTGTACAAGGTTTCAGATTCTCTGGTTGTTTGGATTAAGGTTCATTTTATTCACAGTTTATTAGAAATAGTATTTATACGGACTTCTACTACTTCTAGGAATCTGTCAACCAAACTGTAATTTTTTTCCAAACGTAATCTACTTTGGAATACACCAGGAAAGTTATTTTTTTTTTAAATCTGATGTGCTTTTGACGATGGAAAAAGAGATAATCCCTTCACATATAATTATGTTACGCGTCACGTTGATAAACTGTGAATGACATTCCTGATAAAAACTCTATTCACTTTTAAAATAGAACTCAAATTAAACAAAACATATTATATTAATCGATAACTAACTGAAAACGGACCGTATTAATTATTTGTCAGTAGAAATTCTTTTTTTTTATATATTTAATGGGCCGACGTTTGACCACTATCTCACCTGGTGGTAAGCGATGATGCGGTCTACGATGAAGGACGTCGGCCCATAAGTAACCTATTCACTCGGATTTTGAAGACACCCCTATAGCAAATGTGTTGTCTAATTATGCTCATCTCTGCTCATCAAAATATACTGCAAATAATTTCCTCACAAAATATGCATGTGTATCTGTAAATTAAATTGAAAACCGGTGCGAATACAGCTAGCACTCGGCCCCTTTAATTACACGCACTGACCCGCCGACTCTTTGCGGCAACTTCTTGACACCTTTACTTCGCACTTTTGTGAACTTTACCACTTCACAGCCAGAATAAGGCCGTAATAAGTTCCTAGCCTAGAAAGGCAAAATATGTCTAATCATAGAATTCTGTAATGATATAGTACCGTTGCTTAGTTAGTATAAAACAATGTCTTTTTTCTGTCTATGTGTGTTTAGTTCTTCAAAACTGCGCAACGGAATTTAAAGCAGTATTTTAATAGATAGACATGACATAACATCACGCCTTTTATCCCCAAAGGAGTAGGCAGAGTTGCACATTATGGCACTTAATGCCACTGTACAATGTAACACCCACTTTTCACTATTTATGTTACGAGTCCCATGTAATAGGAGGTGAGCCTAGAGTGATTGAAAAGGTAGGTTAGTAATATGTATATAGGTTTACATCTAGGTAAAATAGAATAAAGAAACACTAATAACCGTGAGAAGAAACTGGCGCGGAATAAAATACAGTACAAAATTTCTAGTAGGTAATAAGTACGCAGCGAAGTGGTGATTCATTCCCAAGCGATGCAATCGCATAATGAGCGAAGCCTTAAAGTGAAAGACTAAGCTACTGAAGTGTATTAAAAGGGCTTATTTATAGTAATAGGTTACAAAAAGTAAATATAGACGTAGGTGCCGCGTTATTAAGGAATTGCTATTTATCAAAAATTGGTGACGCATTTCGATCTATCTTTAAATAAACTGCGCAAAAAAGTAAAGAGGATGAAGTAAAAGGTTTCTATCTATCTAGGGATACCTTACGCCCACATTCCCTCGATTTTGTTAGCAATACGAAAATAAGTATGTTTCATCAAGTCAGCCAATTTCCATCAAACAGTACACAACAAAATTCAAATTCCTGCCAGCTACTCAGAATTTTCCAATCGAAAAACGTAACAAAAAGTTGCAATATAAAACACAAATACCAAAAGCAAAATTAATTCATGTCAGTACATCGAAACAATATAAATTTTATTAAACACAGCACACACGAAATTAAACAAAGTTTAGCGGTATTAGCATTGTTCTCGTTCCGCAAAGTCGGTTAATTAAACAATAACAATTTCAGTAATGTTATTGAGTTTTTAAATTCAAACACCGTTTTATGAATGAACGAATTTCTCCAACGTTTTCAAAGGCCTTTTATGGGATTTCGTTGAAATTATTGGCTTATGTTCTCGTATGGAAGGAGCAATTAAGCTTTGTTTGCTTACATTCATAATATTCGTAAATATACAAAGAATTTTCTAACTATACTTCATACAATTTTCTGTGGAAGCCATGAATAAAACAAAATACGAGTAATCCTTTACCAACGCACCTCTGTTCGCGTGAACTCAAAACGATTATAAAAAAATATGAACGTGCTTTTTACGTTTGGATTTAGAACGCATTGTTTTGTGCCTGTATTTTTTTAATGCAAATGAAAAAAGGATGTCCGTGTGGAAAACTGATGTTACCACGTCACTATTGGTGACTAAAAATGATCTGTTTTAATTATAAGAACAGGTTACAGAAATACATGATACGACTTTGACAAGAAAAGGGCAATGACCTAATAGTCACTCGATTAACGAATCAGACTATAATTTTATTTACCAAATCACTTTAAATGCAACATGCAAGAGGTTTACGGTCAATTTTGAAAAAAATCTAATCTATACAATATTCATTAGTTCGTCTGTCTGTCAATTAATTCATAACGAAGGCAGACGCGCCACAAGCTTATGGAAACTTATTATGTCGGAACAAAGAAAGCAATATGAATAAATTAATTTATTTCACTACAATAACGTCGCAAACTGACAGTGTGCCCACAAAAATGTTAATATTTTAATATGACTTGACGTTTAATGTTTAAGCAAAAATTTAATTAAAAACATTCAATGATAAATTCTGAAGATCACTTTTATTTGTACGTACCTATTTATGCATAATCTTATTATAAATCCCTAATAAATAGGACTTACCTATAACATTTTCAAACCTATATTTATAATATAACATAATAAAATAAAAAAAAAAATAATATAAGCAATAGGCTCACCCCCTATTACATGGGACTCGTAACATAAATAGTGAAAAGTGGGTGTTACATTGTACAGTGGCATAATGTGCACCTCTGCCTACCCCTTCGGAATAAAAGACGTGATGTTATGTTATGTCTATATTTATTTAAAATTACATTTCTAACACTAATAATTTAATATTAGTATTATATAGTTATTTAAAATTACATTTCTGTATAGTACTTAAAAAAAAATAATATTTAAAATTATAAAACATAGAAGCCGACCTGTAACGGAAGCATGGTCCAAGTTACCGGTGGTTAGGGCTCCAGAGACAGAAATCTCCTCATGATACGTGCCGTTTCTAGGAGAACTACGTTCTGTATCTTATGACCCATCAGCCTAACGCCAGCCTCCTAAGATGAATGTTGAGGCTTTTAAGGATTAACCCATTGGCCGATGCGACTATCCGTACAATGATAACCGAATCCACACTCCACACGTCTTCAATCTCGTGGGATAAGTCTAGATATTTTATTCGTTTATCTTTCTCAGCTATCACAAGGTTCTCGTTAAGAGCGCACTTGTCGGTCTATTACCACTATGTCAGGTTTATTAGTTACAGTAGTCCTGTCAGTAATGATAAACCGTTCCCAGTACAATGTGATATGGTCATTTTCCAGAATTGGATCGGGTTCATACTTGTACTACGACACCTCAGACTCAACATGTTGATGTACGGACTTGATGACTTTGTCGGATGATCAAAATGCCAGAGTTTAAAATTCTTAATATGGCGGCAAATATCGAGCTCGATGATCAGTAACAGACCTTAACCATTTCAAAGAACTCACAATTAATACCTGAAATCCATTAGTATCTATACTCTTAGAACTTAATTACATTCGATATAGTTGTTGTAGGCACGAATATGTTTCTGGGAGAGCCATGCTTCGGCACGAATGGGCAGGCTCGACCGGAGTGATACCACGGCCTCACAGAAAACCGACGTGAAACAACGCTTGCGTTGTGTTTCGTCGTGTAAGTGAGTTTACCGGAGGCCCAATTACCCCCCTAGTCTCCCGAATCCCGGAATCCTCCACAATCCTCAAATTCCCAATTCCCAAAAGGCCGGTAACGCACTTGTAACGCCTTGGAGTTTCGACTGTCCATGGGCGGCGCCGATTGCTTACCATCAGGTGATCCGTCTGCTTGTTTACCGGCTTATGCTATAAAAAAAGTTAAGTAACAAAAAAACAAACTTCATTAAGTCAATACACATAAAATGATTTTACACGATCCAATACATACAATAATGTGCTTTTTCTCTTATTTATCCCACAGCAAACCTATTAAAATCTCCCTCAATTGCACCATGCAAGTAATTAAGATTAATTTAATTCCCTTTTTATGTCATTCGCATACATATTTATGACAATAACGCTACATTAATTAATATAGTCTTGATATTAAGATATTAACACCGTTTTAATTGCTTTTGATTTATTTATGAAAACACGTGCGAGTTACGAGCTTGGGAGATTCAGATCGATACCTGTGGCGAATTAAATATTATAATTATGCAGTTATTTTATTAATTTAATTATTCTCAGTGTATAATAAATTCGACGATGTATGAAAAAATCATTTAAAGTAATACTTGTTTCAAGAGTATGCTTTAGTATTTCTCTTTTATTTCTTCCTCGAGAGGTATTGGTAAGGTTAACAGCTAGACTAGTACCAAACCATGCAACAAGCAACTAACCGCGTGATTTTTGTCGTGTAATCTGCTTAAGATTTACAGAATAAGATGCATAATGTATGTAAAAAAAATCCAAATAAATAAGTCATTAAAGACGTGTCTGATTTGAAACAAATTGATTAATTACGGCAGGTGGCAATAGTTACGCTCGTGGCCTTATTACCGTTGTAAGAAGCTGTGGTTTTGAATTCTAGATGTAATTAACTATTAGAGTAGTTAATACGATGACAGGTGAATTGTACGTAAATAGGAATTTATAGCTGTTTAGGTTCAAAAGTGAAACGGAATCAATAATTTTTAAATAAAAATGATCGTCTTCATTCACCTGGTCTTTTTTTATTAATTTTTTAGCTCGGCATTGAGTGTCAACCAGGCTAAATATCAATATTTTTCAGTAAGTAAATGAGGTATGTCAGGAGTAAGTGTTTTAGTAGTTTCATCAAAAAAAAATTATAGTATTTATGTGACGAAACATTTCAATAAAAACATTGTTTATTTGTTTCAGAATTTTGCTGAAGGACTTGAAAAAGACGATGTAAGTAAAGCTCTTTGTACAAGAACGACCAAATTGAAATAATACCTACTTAGAAACGCATAGTACTAACCTTTTTTAACCAACCGTACGATTGACCAGAGCAAGTAATAGAAATTAGTTCAGGTGGTCCCGCTCATCCGCTTCGCCGGTCAACCGTTCAATTGAATGAATTGAATGAATCGAACGAAACGTTCCCTCGATCGGGTACGCGAATTCGATAGTTAACGACAACATTCCATTTTACAGTTGGTCAACCTTACTTTTGATTAAGCACCCCTAATTTAAAGCTTATTTCTTTGACGTTAAGGTCCAATATTATTCAACATTTTTTCCCAATGTCAATTTAAAAATTGTTTACCAAAGGGAGTTTTGTGATGACTAAAGAATTGATTAGTCACAATGTTTTATTACTTTATTGGAAAATTCCAATTGTTTTTCGGTCTTTTTAGGGGAAAGTTGCTTTCTGGGTGGTAAATACTTGTTATTTTTACGTTGTTCAGATTCCCTGTGGAGAACACCAATTTTATACATTCCTCAATATGCCTTTTATCAAATTCTTCTTTATTTTATTATGTACGAAGCTTTCTCGTGTTCCTCTGAGGAAAATATCCGTGATAATCAATTTTCTTCGTGTTTTACTTTTACGGAAGCATTTCAAGGTGTTTGGATTATTTTTTGTGTCTATAGACACACGAATTCTTACATTGCGAAGACTTGTATTTTGAATTTTGACTTATTTTATTTTAATGTCATTATTCTACATACCGAAGAGAGGTCTTTAGAAGGCCGATTGTAGAACACTCTCAACTAGCGTACTTGTATCACCAGGTGTGGAAATGTGACTAAAGTCATACTGGGTGGTATTCGGTCGTTTTTTTTCTACTTTTACGTGTAGTTGAACTATACATAACTCTAATGGTATATACCAAAAGAGTCTACCCTTAAAACTTCTGGCTATTTCAAGGCATTATTCAGGTCGATGTTATCTGTGTATCATAGCCTATAGGACGTTTAAAGGTGATAGGTACGAAGACTACGAGGGCTGTATCTCAGTAGCATTAGCATATAGATTGTACGGTACCCGACTGATGCCTAAGTAATTGCGATTTTGACAACTATTTAGCATTATTTTTATAAACACCACGATGAAATTAGAAAAGTTTGATGGATAACTCCTGGAGAGGCTTTGGAGACTTAATAAACTTGCGTGTATTTATTAAATTACGGAATGTAGGTACTGGGTATATTGATGTTAGGCAGAACAACGTAGGACCTTACCTATTATAGTATTATTATTTAATTTATACTATCAAAGCAAACGAGTTTACTAGACCATTAGGTTAAGTTATAATATTGTTAGTTCTTTTTAGTTTCATTCCTATTGAAGCACCATGATTAATAAATTAGATTATTTTCATTAAACAGAAACCCATTTAGACTACACATTGCCACTGAATGGTTTGCAAATAAGATTAAAATTTAATACTACCTACTCAAGTACCCGTAAATAAGACATCAGATATTTTAACTTAACGAATCAACCCATTTTAATAGAAAAACAAGCAAACTCCTATTATTCGAATCTACATTTATCAAAGAAAATAAAACAAAACACAACACAAACAAACATCAGATATAAATACACAAAATAGGTCCTTACACATACGCAAACATTCTATCAATCAAATGCATTAGACGATTCGAAAAAGTACACACGTAACAAATTTTAGGGAAAAAATGAGTCAAATATGTAACGAAAGATTTCCAAATAGGGGTCAAAAGGATATATACTTATAATCCGAGAGATCGATAGAACCTTTGCACTGAAATCCGTAAGCAAACATATTTCCTAGGAATGGAGTAACATTTGCCATAAATAATACAAGCTGTTATGAGTCGGAGAGTGCTTTTTGCCATGGAATTCCTTATTGTTTTTGGGGAACATAGTCATATTGAAATGGATTATTGAATGTTGGTTACAGGTATAGTTTACCTCTATGTTTTGGATAGTTTCATTATAGATTATTGTCTTAGTGAAAATTCGCTAATGTCATTCATCATCATCGTATCCAACTGCTGTTTCTGTTTGCATGTTTGGCAGTCGAGAATAGCAGTTTTTCTGTCAAGTTCAAACACAACATTATATTTATTCCAATAATACCAAAAAGGCGTCTTTGAACGTCAAATAAAAATTTTAAATGTCAGTCGGTCAGTTAGTCCTTTAATGAAGTTATTTGCTCGTTCTAAAGTGTAGATTTTTATCGAGAATAATGAGTAAGAAACTATAGGTTATTCTGTTTCAATCAGGTTCAGTGTAGTCACAGTTAGCATTTCAGACACCCGCAGAAATAGTAGGAATGGCGACAAGTATCGCTCTGTCAACACCATGATACCGTCTCTAATACCCTACTTCAATAACAGTATTTGTATCTACTTCAAAGATATCTATTTCTAGAATCCACAATTTACTCAACAAAGGATGTAAGAAATGTCTTTCATGTATTATTATCATATGTAATAAAAACTTCGTTACAAAGATTGTTTGTATCATAAATGTCGAATGACAGAAATAGAGAGGCGCCATCTTGTAAATTACTGACATGGTGTAATATATCTGATTTATTCTATTTTGTCTGTTAAAAAAGTTCTTTGATATCAAATTTTTAATTACCTCGTTAGTAGGTTTTAGATTAGTGGCGACTTCTAAGGTTGAGCAAAATATTATTAGAATCGGATTTTAAAGACTATGCTTGTGGTTTTGTTTAATCATGGACTTGCACTTTATTATAATCTCGGACATTACATCGGAAAAAGTTTATGGGTTTTTTCTAGGTCTACTGGATATAGTTAGAAACTAGAAAGTGATATAGACTCCTTTTTTCTTTGACCAACGCGATAATTTCACGAACGGAAAGCTAGTTGAGAAAATAAGCCGAAAGTAGTCTATTTCGACATAGTTTTACTAACATAATCATTACTATTCACTTCCCAACTTGACCTTGACTACACCAGTCCCTAATTAATCAAATGATCCCAAATAAAACAACACGCCGTACTTCCAAAAACACATGAAACAGAGGTTGTTTTAATTTCACAAGGATTTCGTTACAACTTATCACTCAAACGGAAATGAGGGCGCCATGACAGTTTTCATTAGGAAATTGCCCACTCAAGTTAAATGCTTTTTGTTATCATACATAACATTAGATTTAATTACATTGAGGATTGTAGGCTTTTAAGGATATGATAACGGTTACTTTACATGATGTAATATTACGCCTTTTCATAGTATGGAGTTGATGGATATAGGTACACACCTAGATAACCTAACATCACGCCTTTTATCCCCGAAAGGGTATGCAGAGGTGCACATTACGGCACTAAATGCCACTGTACAATATTACACCCACTTTTCAATATTTATGTTATGAGTCCCATGTATTAGGGGGTAACCCTATTGCCATAATAATATACCGGGCATATTTCCAGACTCCGTGCTACTACTAAGATTTTTTTTAAAACACAATAATATTTCACCCGACACGGGTATCGGACCCCTTGCCTGGCAGTCGCACTTGCGACCACTTGGCCAACGAGGCAGTAGATACATATGTATAGTTAGTTATACCCAATTTTCGTTAATTATGGCTTGAGCCCTGGCCTGTGTATGGGCGCGTCTATCAGCACGTAACTTGAGTACAAAGAATTCTTCCAAATATCCTTAGACATCTAGCGGGTTTATAAGCAACGTCTGCTTTTAACAAAAATGTTATTTGAATCTAAAAAAACCTAAGGAGGTCCTTTCCCGGACCTAAAGTTCAAACATGGAGCCTTCGTCACATTTTGTAATAATCGCACAAAAAATTCAGTTCAATTTAAATATAGCACCGCATAATATTTTTCTCTTACGAAATAATTTTACATTTCAAGATTATTTTTGCTACCAAAAATTTACTATCGACCGTTAAAAATTAATTCCAAATGAGCCCAGTTAATCAGGACAAACCAATACTAAAAACTCGACCGTTTCCCGGATTCAGGCCAAACGAAATTCAACTTTAAACGTTGAGCCATAAAATAAAATATAAATCGTTTTAGTTAGAACTCGGTAACTACCCTTTATCTTTATTAGAGTCGACGTTGATTTACAAAAACTGAGTTTAATTAATGGACGTTTAATTTAAATGGGAGTGTTCAGTTAAGTGCTAGTGGCGTTTTCCTATCCAATAAACTACGAAATTTCAAAACTTTCGTTTTGAAAAGAATCATTTTTGTGTTGTTAACATTTGAGTGGGCCGCATATGACAATATTTTGTATGTTCCTAGATTATAATTGTCTAGTTATTAAAAATATAGAAGAAAATTCAAAGTTATGACATTGTCTATAATTATTTAGATTGTTTATTTTTTTTTTAAACGTTGCCCCACACTAGCATTTTCTCCCGTGTCGTGGGTGCGTTTACAAACATACAATATCAAATACACATGACACCCAGACCCGGAACAACAATCTGTGGATCACACAAAGAATTGTTCCGTGCGGGAATCGAACCCGCGACACGTTGCGCGGCAGCCAGGTGCCCGGCCACCGCGCCAACCGTGCAGTCAAATTCAAAATTTAGTACCAGTTTATATAAATTTATATATTAATTTATGCCTGATGTAAGGTACCCAATCTCCCCAAACCTTAAACCCCCATCAATACTCAAAATCTTACTCCCCAAAAGGCAGGTAACGCAAGTCCATAAGTGACACCGATTGCTTACCATCAGATGATCCGCCAGGTCGTTTACCGGGTTATCCCATAAAAAATAGAAGATGAACCTATTCATCATCAAACTACACAATAATATTACTACCAATAACCCAGCCAAGAATTACGAATACTAATATCGATGTGTAGCAAAAACCAAACTGGCTAGCGAGCCTCGCGTGATTTATGTTATCAAATCAGTATGCTAATTATACAGATTGATGTAATGCACAGATAAACACATTTA